TTCCTGTCACTTCCCCACTGATTGGTTGTGGGAAGCTGTTAGGAAGTTGCCTCGCCTAACCACCGTGAGATTTGGTTAATGACGGCAATCAGGACTGCAGGGATTGCCGTCTTTAAGCAATTTGGTAATGCTTTACAACTGCATCACTTAGCAATGGAAATTCTGGTCCCAATTGCTTAAGTTGAGGACTACCTGTATTCCACCTCTGAAATACATCTGAAGTGCATTTCTCTTAAGGCTACTTAGGGAAACAGAGAAGCTTGCCACATCATTTGTCTGTTAGGTCATTCATATTTAATATGCTTGCTGCTTACATTTCTGTGTACTGAACAGGCACTGAAGAGAGCTGAACTTCATAATCAGAATACCCCTACATTTAGACCTAAATGAGCAATTGCAATGGTAGCATGGTTCAAGATGGATCAAAACAATTTTAAGAGTATGAGTTGGCAACATCATGCCATTGGTGCCAGTATTACCATGTAGTGCCATAAGTGAAAAAAATAAATGAAAAAGTTGGGATCAAATGGATTAAAGCACCTAGTGGGAACCAGACTATTTCTGTTTTGCCGAGTAAGTGTGGATAAATGAATATAAGAACAAATAGAAGGAGGATAAGTAAGAAACCAATATACAAACTACATGATGGATTTTTATTAGAAAATGAGGTTGTGGAGAAGAGGTGCATCTGGAAGGAAGAAAAAAAAAGAGGGGGAATCCTGAGGGATGTGTATAAGACTTCAAGCTTCATAGGTTGACCACAACTAGTTATTCAAAATAAATGTCTGAGTCTAGAGTCTAAAAAAGTATTTTATGCATGTATGCATATGCCTAAAGCAGGAAACACTTTAAGGATAAAACTATAATGAGGTATATACTAAGCATGATTTAATGACAGCCAAATCCTCATTTTTGCACTGATCCATCATGGTTTAAACATCAGTTGTTCTCAAACACTTGTTTTAGAAAAAGGCCTTTAATTAAGAGGTTTATGCAGCCATAGTTTTAGAACATTCTGGAGAACTGTGTTATATATTATCTGATTAAAATATTTTGAAAAGGAAGGAATTGTGCTAGCCTTAAGTTGTAGGCATTAGAGATATGAAGAATAATTACATAAGAGAGTATTTAAGATCAGTTGTTGATTTGTTTTCCTGCAATACCCAATCTATGCACTTCCAAGGTAGTCAGAAATCTATATTTCATGGCTGCTTTGATTATTCCCATAAAAACTAATACATAAATAAAATGTATTAGTTTTATTTATGTATTAGTATATGAGAGCAACGTTTTTGCTCTCTTATACTTACCCAGAAAACCCAATAAGAAAACGATGAAAGGGAATTAGGCTAATTAGGGCTGCCACCAATATCTGCAGGGTTACCATGTAATGTTAATCCTGAAGGTTTTTTGACTGAGAGGCTGGGCAGACAAACCAAAGGTAGGAAAGCAACATCTTTTCACTCTGGCTTATCCCCTCTGCATAGAAAGTGAAAATGCTCAGACTTCAACAAAAATAAGCAGTCACTTGTTTAAATTACATTAGTTTATTTTTATGAATATCCCTTTTAAATCCTTCATGCACGTTTTCAACATAAAAGTCTTTCAACAGAAACTTCTGACATAAGTTATAATTGTTCTATAATGTGGTAATTCCAACAGCTCCTCAAGAATCTATTAAACTTTGGCAAACAGTGTCATCAGACTGGACAAAGTCCAACAGGAAGGGTTTGATGAACATTTTACATTTAAACAGTGGGGGGGGGGACTCAACTCATGTGCATAGATGGATGGATAGGAGGAGAGAATTTTGTATAGCAGTGGGCAACACGGCATAAGGATTATTAATCATAGCTATGCTGATAAGTTTGTTAAATGATATTAATCCAATTTTTTCATACCATGGGAGCAATGAAAATACAGTGTTTGCACTGTTTGTCTCGACAAGTTGAATGAGGATGTTAGTTTATGACTGATAGAGATTCAGCAACTCCTAGAAAGATGCCATTCATTTTTAAAGAAATACCATGATGATTGTACAATGTTGGGATCTTTGCCCTGGTAATACTGCAAGCGAATACTAGGTTTTAGTCCATTAATATACAAATATACATATGTAAACAGGTAATGTACAACCAGCCTGAAGTTGTACCTTGCATCACAACTGTGAAATTGCACCAATGAATACAGAATAGTATCAGAATGCTACAAAGAAAAGATATGATTACTAGACCAATACATTTATAATAATAAAATAGCTTAAGGAAAAATAGCTATCCTACTAGTTCTCTTGTCTTATTACAACATTTTAAACATCAGAAACTAAATTAAAATTAAAATAGATACAATTAATGACAGAAAGATGAAAAGGTGCCTTTATTTACATAAATGTGCATTCAGAATAAAAATTAAAATTAGACCTATATCCCAGAATCATACAATTCCAGCTTTCTTCATCCATTCACGTATATAAATATACAGATATATTGCTGTATCTGTAATGGTAACAAGTACCAAAGAGTACTTGAGTACTAGGTTTAAGAGTACTAGGTTTAACTTCTTTAAACCTAGTGGCAATTCTGTAGAATGGATTGTATGTTCATCTGTGTGAATAATAAATAACCATATATACGTGTATCCACACACACAATAAACACTCTTTCTTCAGGCTGAGGGTTGTTATGACATGCATAATTCAACCAATTCAAGGAAGAAAATAACTAGCCTTTACAACAAAAGTGCATGGAAATCACAATATTTAGAAGATTAAAAGAGCTCCATTTTGGAAGGAAAATTCAACCTGTTTTTACAAAAATAAAATGTAGTTTCTAAACTTTATGGATCCATAAAAACAACTCAATGACTAGAGAATGGGTAAAGCTTTCTCTAGCTTTGAAATGCATTATTATGGCAAAGAAATCCTCAGCTGTAAATCTTAAAAAATACAGGAAAATGTTGGTTCCTTAATATTTCAGGAATTTACTGGCAAAATGAACATATTTAGTACATAGTGAATTTCCTTAATGTGCATGGCATATTCAGGCATTAATTTTAATATTAGATATTTACTGTGACCTTTCTAATAGCAAAACAGGGCTGTCTTTGTGGAGTCTGTCTTTCTGCTTACTTTGGGGCACTTTGATTTCTGTGGAATCCAGTACGATTTATCTGGATGACATAGACTATACTTATCAGCTAAAAGTATAGAGCCAACAATGCATAAAACAGCTAAAACATTCAAACTGTAGTATTTCCCTAAGTCTCAAGAACATTACCCAGAATTTAAGACTGTGGCTAATTTTCAGGCATTTACTCAAGCTCCATTATATTTAAAAGATCTATGACAACAATCTGACTAAATTACTTAAGATACCTATACAATTTTAAAAGCTTTATAGATGGATCTATTTCCATAAAACTTTATTTATTTCCTGAGTCAATGTTTTTCTAGTTACAACAGCCAAATTCAGTAACGTTCACGAACAAAAGCATTAAAAAATACCCCTCTGAATGCCAAGAGGCAGCACCACAGACAAATCTACTCTTTCAGCCCTCTTTTGTCATCAAGTCAGCCCTACTTCATACCTTTTAACATTATTTTAATTTTCCCAATGTAAAGTTCTACATTTAAGTTATTTAAGTACAAAGTTATACTGTTTCCAATAATCTGTGCTCAAATCTGGCAAATTTATGTAACATTATGACCAAGCAGGTATTGTATTTTTCTTAAAATACAAATCAGAGTGCTAAAGACAAAACAAAACAAAACAAAACAAAACAATAAATTTACACCAGTCCAAATGATATCTGAAATAGTTAGCAAACATGTAAGGAAATTATTATGAAGGCAGAACTAAAATTACATTAAATGCCCACGACTTTTCAAAAAGAACTGAAGAAATCTTTGGGATTAAAATTGACTTTGTTGTTGTTATTTGTTGTTACAACAAATAAAGGAAAAGTGATATAAAGGGTCCATTTTTCCCCATTTAATGATTCTATGAACCCCAACTCTCACATGGAGGAAAAAACCAATAAAAATATACAGGATGGACAATGTGCTTATTCTGAGTTTTGAGCCCATGGGATACCAGAAGAGATGAATAACAGGGGCATTTGGTTTCTCATGTTCTATCTACCCTAGATTATTTGGTATGCTAGCCTATTCAATGACTGACTACACCAAAACAAAGAGCTCTTTTCTCTCTCTGACTTGTAATGAATTCCTTTCGCAAACAATAACATCACAAATCTACAAGCCAATCCATTTGTAACAGCCTGCAAAGATTTTGGATCCAAATAGCCTATCAATTATCCCTTGTGGTAGATGATAAGCCTTTCAAATTAGCTGGATAGTAAAGTAATTTAATAGCAAAAAACGTGTGTATTTTCAATAATCAAGGCACAAAATATGTCTCAGCCAAACAATCATATAAAAAGCCCTTTGCCGTTCTTATAAATGGACAGTTAGATCGAATATTATAGGACTCCAATTCAAAGACAAATAAAATTATATGTAGCATAACGAGATAATGAACAAGTATTCAAATAAAACTTATATTAAACTGGGCATCACTAGGGAGAAAGTATTCAAAGAACGTGAAAGATAATAGGGAAAATCTAGTTTCTGTACATGTCTGCAGCCTCTTTTTCTTTCTTTTTCCTCTAATTGCCTGGAATATTTTAAAACGCTTTAATCGCTTACTGATTTTTATATAAAGGGATAAAACACACCTTAGCTATGAGACAAAAGCTATTATTTAAAGCCTATGAACCCTAATATATATATATATATATATATATATATATAAAAATAAAAAAAAAAAA